AATTTGGGAAAAATATGGAATAAAAATGGGGAAAAAAGGGTTAAAAATGGCAAAGAAAGGGTTAAAAATGGCGGGAAATGGGGGTTGGGGTTACTGGTTTATACTGGTTTATACTGGTTTGGACTGGTTCGGACTGGTTCGGACTGGTTTGGACTGGTTTATGCTATTTATACTGGTTCATACTGGTCTGTACTGGTCCATACTGGTCCATACTGGTTTATACTGGTTTATACTGGTCCATACTGGTTTATACTGGTTTATACTGGTTTACACTGATCCATACTGGTTTATACTGATCCATACTGGTTTATACTGGTCCATACTGGTCCATACTGGTTTATACTGATCCATACTGGTCCATACTGGTTTATACTGATCCATACTGGTCCATACTGGTTTATACTGGTCCATACTGGTCCATACTGGTCCATACTGGTCCATACTGGTCCATACTGGTTTCAGAGGTGCTGGCGGCGCTGGGCCCGGCCGTGGTGGGGGAGGGGCTGCTGGAGGCTCTGGAGCGGGGGCTGGGCCTGGCCCCGGGGGATCCCGAGGCCACCAGGGTGACGTGAGTGACGGGATTCCAAAAATTCCCAAAAATTCCCAAAATTCCCCCAAAATTCCCCAAAATTCCCCAAAAATTTCCCAAAAAAGTCCCCAAAATTCCCCAAAAATTCCCCCAAAATTCCCCAAAAATTCCCAAAAAAATTCCCAAAAATTCCCCAAAATTCCCCCAAAATTCCCCAAAAATCCCCCAAAAATTCCCCAAAAATTCCCCCAAAATTCCCCAAAAAATTCCCCAAAAATTCCCAAAAATTCCCCCAAAACTCCCCAAAAATTCCCCCAAAATTCCCAAAAATTCCCCCAAAATTCTCCAAAAATTCCCAAAAATTCCCCAAAAATTCCCCAAAATTCCCAAAAATTCCCCAAAACCCCCAAAAATTCCAAATCTCCCCCCAAAACCCCCAAAATTCTTGGAGAAATCCCCCGGAATTCCCCCCAAAATGATCCCCGTATTCCCCAAGAAAACGCCTTGGCCACGCCCCCTCCCTCGAAGCCACGCCCACTCCCTTTAAGCCCCGCCCATCGCCATTGAAGCCACGCCCACCCCAGTAAGCACCAGCCAAGCCACGCCCACTCCTCTAGCCACGCCCCCATTAAGCCCCGCCCACTCATTTAGCCCGGCCCCCATTAAGCCCCACCCACTCACCAGTCAAGCCCCGCCCACCCTCCTTTAACCACGCCCCTCCCATTAAGCCCCACCCATTCACCACTCAAGCCACGCCCACTCCCATTAAGCCCCCGCCCAGTTTCCCATTTAAGCCAAGCCCGTTCACCTTCAAGCCCCGCCCACTTCCTCATTTAGGCCACGCCCACTTTAGTTAAGCCTTGGCCCCGCCCCCTTTTCTGCCTCCCAGTCCATCCCAGTTCAATCCCAGTTCATCCCAGTTCAATCCCAGTTCAATCCCAGTTCAATCCCAGTCCATCCCAGTTCAATCCCAGTTCATCCCAGTTCAATCCCAGTTCAATCCCAGTTCAATCCCAGTCCATCCCAGTTCAATCCCAGTTCAATCCCAGTCCATCCCAGTTCATCCCAGTCCATCCCAGTTCATCCCAGTCCATCCCAGTTCAATCCCAGTTCATCCCAGTTCAAACCCAGTTCAATCCCAGTTCAATCCCAGTCCATCCCAGTTCAATCCCAGTTCAATCCCAGTCCATCCCAGTCCCTCCCAGTCCCTCCCAGTTCAAACCAGTTCATCCCAGTTTGCAGCTGCTGTCGGCCGTGTCGGAGCTGTTGGGGGAGGGGGCGGGGCCTCTCCTGCCCCGGGTGCTGCCGCTCCTGCAGGGGGCGCTGTGTCCCCCCGAGCCCCCCGTGAGTACTGGTTTATACTGGTTTATACTGGTTTATACCGGTTTGGGCTCCAGGGTTACTGGTTTGGACTGGTTTGGACTGGGAGGGGTTCTGGGGTTACCGGAAGGGCGTTCGGGGTGGCTGGGGTGAACTGGGAATGGGGTTGGGGTTACTGGTTTGTACTGGCTTATACTGGTTTATACTGGGTTATACTGGTTTATACCGGTTTGGGGGTGGGGTTACTGGTTTGAACTGGTTTGGACAGGGAAGGGACGGGGAGGGGGTTAAAGGGCTAAAAATGACGGAATTTGGGGTTAAAGGGGGGTTTTCGTACTGGTTTATACTGGTTTATACTGGTTTAGACTGGTTTGGACTGGTTTGGACTGGTTTGGGGTTAGTGGTTTATACTGGGAGGGAACTGGGGTGTTACTGGTTTATACTGGTCCATACTGGCCCATACTGGTTTATACTGGCCCATACTGGTTTATACCGGACCATACTGGTTTATACCGGACCATACTGGTTTATACTGGTCCATACTTGTTTATACTGGTCCATACTGGTTTTTACTGGTCCCCATCCCCCCCCAGCCCCCAGCCGAGGCCCCTGATTGGCTGCTCCATCTCCATGACGACGCCGAGGGGGCGGAGCCCATGGACGATGACATCACTGCCTGGGAGGAGCCTCCGACGTGAGGAGGGGGCGTGGCCAGGGCAGGGCAGGCGGGGCTTAGAGGAGGGGGCGTGGCTTTCATGGAGGGGCGTGGCTTAGGGAAGTGGGCGGGGCTTATGGAGCTGGTCATGCCCATTTATGGTCATGGCCACGCCCCTCCACAGGGCGGAAGTGGGCGGAGCTTTCCCCGGATTGGCTGAGGCGGCGCTGGGGACGCTGGGGGAGCTGGCGGAGAACTGCGGGTAACTGGTTTATACTGGTTTATACTGGGAGGGACTGGTTTATACTGGTTTTTACTGGTTTATACTGGTTTATACTGGGAGGAACAGGTTTATACTGGTTTATACTGGGAGGTCAGTGGGAGGGGGTTTGGGGTTGCTGGTTTATACTGGTCTATACTGGTTTGGAGCTTGGGGTTACTGGGATGAACTGGGAGGGAACTGGGAGGAGGTTTGGGGTTACTGGTTTATACTGGGAAAGGTAACTGGTTTGAACTGGGAGTTACTGGGGGGGCGGCTACTGGTTTATACTGGTCCATACTGGTTTATACTGGTTTATACTGGTTTATACTGGTTTATACTGGTCCATACTGGTTTATACTGGTTTATATGGGTTTTTGCTGGTTTATACTGGTCCATACTGGTCCATACTGGTTTATACTGGTCCCCAGCTCCGCCTTCCTGCCTTACCTGGAGCCCAGCCTGGCGGCCATCTTGGATCTGACCCAGGTGAGCCCTCCCAGTCCGAACCAGTTCATCCCAGTCCCCTCCCAGTCCAAACCAGTAACTCCCAGTCTCTCCCAGTTCCCCCAGTCCGAGGTCAGAGCCGCCGCCTTCGAGGCCCTGGGGAGCCTCTGCTGCTGCGGGAGGGGCCGGGAGCCGCAGACTGGTTTGTACTGGTTTTTACTGGAAGGGGACTGGGAGGGACTGGTTTGGACTGGGAGGGGTTTAAATTGCTCCATACTGGTTTATACTGGTTTAAACCAGTTTGAAATGGTTTATACTGGTCTATACTGGTCCAAACTGGTTTATACTGGTCTATACTGGTTTATACTGGTCTGTACCGGTTTATACTGGTTTATACTGGTCCACACTGGTTTATACTGGTCTATACTGGTTTGTACTGATTTGAAATGGTTTAGACTGGTTTATACTGGTCCAGACTGGTTTTTACTGGCCCATACCGGTTTATACTGGCCCATACTGGTTTATACTGGTTTATACTGGTCCATAATGGTTTATACTGGCCCATACTGGTCCATACTGGTCCATACTGGTTTATACTGGTCCATATGGGTCCATACTGGTCCATACTGGT